ATCAGCTCATGCTCTTGTTCAATTAAATCTAGGAAACTTTTATTTTTGTTGGTTTGTAGTCATTTTAAATCTTTTTTACCAGATATAATTTAAACCTAGGTCCTTTGGTTAAAAAACTATGTTTTACCATAAACCAACTCAGTGCTTAGGAGCATTTATCACCCCCTAATTATGTTAATAAACTGCAACATACAGTCTCTTTACCAGAACAGCAAATGTAACTTCTGCAAGTGTTCAACAAGAGGGCTGGACACTTCAGGGCAGGTAGTTTTGCAGGTGTTTGGGACTGGGAGGCATTTGGGGTCCCCCTGCTAAAAGTAACTAGGCAGTGGAAGATAAGGTATGACCTTCTTGCTTGTCTGCTGGCTGTGGGTGTCAGGGCTGTGAGCTACAGTAGCATAGAATTTTAAAAAAAATCCAGAGTTTCTGGATAGGCAGTGATACTACCTCATTCGGGGCTAGGTTGACCCCCCCACCCCCCAAAGCAGCAGTACCTACCCCAAAAGTTGCACATACAATAAGGTACATAAAGGAGCATCACTCACCTGCCACAAGCACCTCCATCTGGTAAAGTACATGTTCCTGCATAGTCTCTTTAAAAAGCCTTTTTGGCTATTCAGCCCTCTGACTGAGCCACACCCTGTGTGAAATACAAACCCCTTAGAGGGTACACCTCTAACAAGGGCCTTTCTCAGTACCTTCTTGCTTAATCTGTCCCTTAAGTTTGTTTCCTCTCAGTCTATCCCCTCACAAGAGCTGTGCCCCCCAGGACTTCCCCCATCCTCACAGTCTACCCTGCTTCAGCTCTACCCAACACTAAGGGCTGTGCTGTTTTGCAGCTCCATTTGTAGGCTTTCCTGGCCTCTGATTGGCCAGTTCCTCTGCTGCCACTCTTGCCTGCTTGGAGGACCTCTCTGTGGTTTCTCTGGGTTAGGGTGTGGCCAGACCACACCCTCACAGAGTGCTTAAAAGCTCCAGCATTGCCTCTAGATGTTGTTTGTGGGCTGAAGATAGCATGTTACTGAGTTTGATTTAGCAGTTTTCTTATTTGGGAGTCAGTCATGAACTTCATTTTAGGCCCTAAACTTTTCACAAGCCTCAAACTGTTTTGTAGGCCCTAGGCACTGTTTCTATTGTGCCTAATGGATTACCTGGCCCTGCCTGGAGGGATATAAATGAGAGAGGAAAAGAGGTGTTTTGAGGGTCTTACCTGGGCTCCCCAGAGAACCCCCTTCATCATCCCCTGATTGGTGCAGCCCCAAATTCTATGCCTGATGGGTGCTCCCTCTTGTAGGCTCTCTACAAGACCTACACTGAGAGCCTGTACACCATGCTTAGGAGCCTGCCAACATAGGCCCCTCACCACTGACAAGCTGTAGCAGAAGTGAGCAGAATGGGAGGGTATCAGTGGGGAGGGCTGCAAAGGAGAAACTGGAGGAACCATGTTCCTATTGTATCCTCCCAGCCTGGACCTAGCTGGCTATGCTTTCCCAGAGCTGCCTGTGCTGTACAACACTAGGGCCTTTCCACAGAGAGTGCGGGATGGCACTTTCAGACAGAGATCTGCAGGGCTCTGCACCGGCACTAATAGGCACCAGGCTGGGGACAGAGAGGCTGAAAGCCCTGTGAGACCCAGGTCATAAGCCCCTGAGAAAAGTCACTGGCTCTGCTCTAGAGAGACCCTGAATTTCAGGAGGAACCTCAGGGAATCCGCTCTTCTGCCCCATGGACATTGCAGTTCCCAGAGGGATTCTCCCCATCCCCACTGTACCCATCCCACCAAGGGTTTTGCAGCTGGGGAAGGGCCAGGGAATGTGCTTTGCCCCTGATGCGCTGTTCACGGATTAGGGGATTAGTGCCAATGTACCAACCCCAAGGCGAAGCCCTGTCCCAACCTGGACCAACAAGAACAGCTTGGGCCCAGCAGGTTGTGGGCAGTGTCTTGGGCGATGCAAGATGCTAAATCTGCACAGGTATTCCTCAAACTACACTGTAAGGACTTACAATTAACATGCATTTGGGTTGAAGACAAATGGAAGATAGATATTTTTATGGCCATTATAGACACTTTAATTGGTATGCCATTTGGACTGACTGTCACCTTGCGACACTTCATCGGTGATGTATTCAGGCACATTCCAGATCCAGACATTGTTATCAATTTAGATGACATACTCCAATTTTGGAGTAGCACGTGCACCACAGCAGAACCTGGAGAGGCTGCAGCAGCGTGGCCTCTACACAAAATTGGATAAGTGTACCTCCAGCCAACTCTCCACAGAGTTTTTAGGGTACTTCCTCCACCCAGAAGGTGTTAAGTTTGATCCAAGTGAGGTGGAAGTCATTGACAACTGGGAAGAAGCTTGAAATACCCCTAGAACGGTATTTCCTAGGCGTCACCAGTGTCCTGTTGCTTTGGCCCAGGCTTCTCAAAGCAAGTAACCCTCACAAGAGCTCTCCTCCACAAGACTGCCATGTTTGTTTGGTCGCCCAAGGCCCAATGAGCCCTCACACAGCTCAGAGTTGCCTTCGCTGCTGCACCTGTTCTGAAGCACAATCCAACTGGAGCATTCCCCATGGGAGTCGACACATCTAATATGACCATGCTTAGCTCCTTATTTAGACCCCTAGCTCCCAAGGATCTGGGCCACAAGAAATTGTCTGAAAGGACCAGATTACAGGGGTACCCATCCTTCTTACACAGGAGGCCCCATAAACCAAACAGTGGGGCCAAGTAGATTCTACACATTTTAATAAGATTTGGAGTCGCCAGTATTGGGTGACTTACACTTTCAGTTCAGCTTGTTTTGTACGTATTTGGGTTGTTTCTAGGTACAGTATTTTCTATTGACACCCTTGTGTAAAATGCTGTAAAGTAATGACAAAGCACTAATGAATTGGCTCATAAGTGCTGGAGCTAATGGTGCTTGGGGTGGTGGGGAGAAGTAAGCTGTACTTCTTGGCTTGAAGTGGTTTCCATCATACATGGTTTACAGTTTGGTTCAATGCCCCCCCCCTCATAACATTGTTCCAGGGCTTTCCTCACTCCCTGAATGGGCTGTCAGTATATTGTGTTGAAGCATGGACCACCAGGGCACTTTATAACATCTGCTGCCTGCAGGTCATCAGCTGGGCACCTCAGGATCTGAACAGTGGGGGATATGGTCCTCCCAGACACCCTGGCTATGTCTACATTGGCCCCTTTTCCGGAAGGGGCATGGTAATTTTTGAAATCGCAATAGGGAAATGCGCGGGGGATTTAAATATCCCCCGCGGCATTTAAATAAAAATGTCCGCCGCTTTTTTCCGGCTTTTAGAAAAGCCGGAAAAGAGCGTCTACACTGGCCCTGATCCGCCGGAAAAAGCGCCCTTTTCCGGAGGATCTTATTCCTACTTTGAACCTAGCAGGGAATCTCAGCATGATCACTTTAATCAGGATCGAGATGCGGCTACACACTCCCATGTATTTTTTTCTGAGCAACTTGTCCCTGGTCGATGTCACTTATTCTTCCACTATTGTCCCTAACGCTCTGGTGAACTTCTTAGCAGAGAGGAAAGCCATTTCCTTTGCTGGCTGTGCCACACAATTTTTCTTTCACTCCTTCTCTGTGAATGCTGAGGGTTTGCTTCTGGCCGTGATGGCGTACGATCGCTTCGCAGCCATTTGCAAGCCGCTGCTGTACACGCTCATTATGTCCCCGAAGGTCTGTGTTCAGCTGGTCGCTGCATCCTACTTCTATGCCTGTGTCAGTGCCCTTGTGCACACCGGCTCTTTGTTCAGCCTGTCCTTCTGTGGTCCCAACATCATCGATCACTTCTTCTGTGACATCCCCCCGCTCCAGAAACTCTCCTGCTCGGACACACGCATGGATGACATTGTGCATTTCGTCTTTGTTGCCATACCCGCATTAATTACTATCGTGGTTGTTGTTGCTTCCTATGTTTTTATCATACTGGCCATCTTGCGGATCTGCTCCAGTGAGGGCAGACGCAAAGCCTTCTCCACTTGTACCTCCCACCTGACAACTGTGTCCATACTCTTTGGGACTCTGCTCTTTATGTACTTACGGCCCATATCCATCGACTCAGCATTTTATGATAAAGTGTTGTCTGTGTTCTATACCCTAGTGATCCCCACGCTGAACCCCCTCATCTACAGCCTGAGGAACAAGGAGGTGAAGGATGCCTTCAGGAGGCTAATACACCAGAAAATTATTTCTCGCTGAGGAGATGAGTTTCATGAGTTATTAAGAAACAGAAGTGAGAAGCACTGCTCTGAAAATGGAATTTCTCTCCTTTTCGAAAATGTAGAGGTTTAATAAAAAAAAGTTTCCTTACTTGGGACAAAACATTGAAAATTCATAGTATTTTGTGGGACAGAAATTCTGAAAAATTCAATTTTGGGAAAACCACAATGGAATTTTTTGGCTGTCTGGCTGAGGCTCTTCCCACTTCCACTGTGTTGTTAGAACATGAGATTGGAAAGAGCTTTTCAAGAGGATAGCTAGGGAGTTGCCCTTTTGAATTCTCAAAAGGAAAACAAAACCAATTAATCAAAAATAAACATTTCCCCCTTAAAATGTTGTGAGAAAGGTCTGTTCTATAGGACAACCCTCACAATGGAGAATTCCCAACTAGCTGTGGCAATGAGGCAAACGTGAGATCTTACTGCTCTTAGCCCTCTCGCTGGGTCTTACATGGTGAGAAAGAAGGCAGCAGGAAGAGAAGAGGGAAATGTCTTCTTGCTCCAGCCCAGAGGAGTGTGGCCAATGTCACACGGTGAGAGTTACACCTCTGAAGGAAGGGCTGGGGCCGATTCTGGCACAGAGATGGAAGGGGACAGCTAAGGAGGTTATCCATGATGGAGAATACTGGCTTATGGGGAGAACAAGGACTTCAGGCACTGGGATGATATGGAAGCCAGGGAGAACCCAGATGTTGGGTATTCAGTCAGTCCTTCCTCCTCCCCAGCACACCTGGAAGGCAGCCTAGGGAACGGACTCCCAGGGTGACTATTTTTTAAAGAAGAGCCTGAAATAAAGTGCTTGAAGTTACCCAAAATGGAAACTCAGATGAGAGGCCACTTGCAGGGTTACCTCCAGGCTACAAAGAGACACTCAGGAGAAGGCTACATGTTTCTCAGAAAATTCCCAAATTCGAAAAAAAAAGTTGACTTCCAAATTGTCACAGAGCCAATATTTTGACATTTCCTACAAAAACCACAATTCTGAACTTCTTCAGCTTGTGACCTACAAGAGGGTTCATTCTGATGATGTCTAGTCATTTCATTTTAATAACGTAGGGTATGTCTACACTACAGCATTGTTTCAAAATATCTAATTTCAAAATAATTATTTTGAAATATCTAATTTCGAAATATGCATTTCGAAATAGCAAAAAGCTATTTAGAAATGCACATCCACACTGATTGGACACTGAATCGCATTTAAGGCCAGCCGGAACTGATTCCGTCAGGGCATCAGGTCAGAAGTTACCTTGTGGCCAGGGCGTCCAGCAGTGCACCCTGGGAAGAGCTGGAGGCCCCCAATTTAAAATGAGCATCTACACAGAGCTTATTTCAAAATAGGCACTCTTCCTTGTGGAATTAGATTTACCAATTTCGAAATAAGCCCGCCACTATATTGAATTAATTTTGAAATAGCAGCTGGCTTGTGTAGATGCTAGGAAAGTTATTTTGAAATAACGGCTATTATTTAAAAAAAACTTGGCTGTGTAGACATACCCGTAGAAACATTTTGTTTTATGAAGGCAAAAATGTATCATTTCAATGATAAAAAATGTTTTGGTTCAACCTTATTTCATTCTTTATTTTTATATTTTATTAAAATATAATCTGGGTCTAGAATAACAGAATGCACACACACATACTGGGGCTAAGACAGTGACTGGGGAAGCTTTTGTGTTTGGGTGTTTGAGAAGAAAAGGATCCTTCCCCCCCAAAAGACCACATGGACAGGATAGGGCCAAAAGCCACAGATACTTCCAGAGCAAGCATAATCATAAGAGAGGACAAGAGAAGGAAAGGTTTTGCGTACTGTGTTGGCTATTTCAGGTTTGGAAATGCGAGCAAAGAAACAGTGTCCTGTTGTTTGAGTTCCGCTTTGTTTAGACAACCAGGACTTTATACACAATTTGTAAATAGACAGCATTGCATCAATGATGCCTAAATCCATCTTCCGTTGTTTCTCCCAATGGAAACAATGTACAGAGCACTGAACGTTGGCTTCCCATTGAGGCCCAAAAGAGGTAACACTACTTTAGAAACGTAAGTCAAACTCCTTGTGAATTCTACACATTTCTTGCTCTTTCTCTTTTCTGAAGAAGAAATTGAAGTTTCAGTACACGGTTGCTTTTATTTCTTTCATGTAATTAACATTTTGTCCTTAATCCACTTGCATTTAAAACAGAATTGACCCTACTCAGAGCTGAGCAGTTTCAAAATCGATTGCATCTCAGCTAATGCACCTCGATCTTGATATGCCCCACTCTCTGCTACAGCAGCCCTTCACAACCCCCTGATTCGGTCAGTGCCCCTCAGTTCCGATCTTCAGCCATTTTAGCTATTCCAATCCAAAGCTTTTAGACATCCCTGAAGAGACACCTCAGTCTTGATCTAGTGTACAACACTTTGCTTCTCTTGTATCCCATCTCTGGGCTCTCAAAATACCAGTGTCCCGAAGAACTCAATTCTTGATTTCTCAGCAATTAAAAAATAATTAAATAACTGTACCAGGAAATGCATTTGCAATAAACATTGCCAGATTGATTTCTGACTGGAAGTCATTCTTCCAAGGGGCAGCTGCAGATTTATGGAGTGGATAAATCAGGGGAAAGGGATAAAGAGAAGCCACAGCACTTCGAAGAACTTGATCAGACTTTGGTACCAAACTATCTCCTGATCCCACGTGACCTAACAGGCGTGTTAATGATGCCCTTTGTGCCTGACCTGAGGTTGAGTGCGCTAAGGGATTCAGTCTCCAAATGCCATAGAGCAAATAAATACACCCCGCCTCTTATTACAGCTTTTGAATCCAAGAAAGAGAGATGTCTCTCTTGCAACAGGCAGTAAAGGACAAAGAGTAACGTGAGTAAAACAAATGCTTCCATTTCTTCTAACACCTGGGAAATACACCCACATCCATTCTTTCCATTGCGGAACAGAATTTTTTTTCCATTCTCTACATGGTGATTCTTATTCCACCAAAATGATGGATTTTTTGTTGATCTCTGTATATTTGCAATAAAATGGGATAAAAAGCCTAAAATACCCTGAATGTGCCAGGACTCAAGGTGTAAGGGTTTTTTTTAATGTGGTTCATTCTTTTGAACAACAAATATTTTCATTGAAAACTTAAAGCAGGTTTTTTACTAGAGGGAACATTCCACACTGACAGCCCTAAAGAGAGCTGGTCTCTCTATGTAGACAGAAGGTCCCATACAGAATGGGCGGCCCTGGTTTTCCTCAGCATCCCATTCTCGGCTCTGATAGGAGGGCTTGTGGGCTCAGGGTGGATACACAGATATCAGGGAATGAATATCAGATTTTCTCACTAGTTTGCAGTGGAAAAACAAGCACATTTGGACCCACTTGGATTCCAAGGAAGCATCTCGCTGGATGCTTTCTGACTGGCACTCCCTGCTGCCGGGCCATTACCAGGTATGTATTCACCATGAGGCTACTTAATGTCTGCTTTCAAAATCTCTTCTGAGAAACAAAGGTCAGTCTTCCCACTATCTCCACATCCTTTGGGGAAATGAGAGAGATTAACAGAGCAACAAAGAAAAAAAACCTCTGTCAGATACTCAAGAGGCCAGGTCAATACACGGCTTTGTAGACATTCAGGTTCTGGTTGGATTCCAGGTCTGACACCCAGCCCCATGGGCATGTGTTCAGGTATTGCCCTAGTGAGTGAGAGAAAGGGAGAGAGAGATTTTCTTTATATTCCTGCTCACTAAACTCTTTTTTTCTTGAAGGGGGACTTTTTCCTAACCCACTTGTTGTTTCTGCTACAACACTTCCATGCTAGTCCCAGGGGCCAAAAGACGTGGCAGGCTTTCAACCCTGGTGTAAATACAGCTTTTCTTTGCTTAACTCTTCTGTTTCTTCGTATACCCTTGACGGATATAAACTTCCCCTTTGTGACAGTTACCTTGGTTATCTCAAAAATAATTTGGTTTATTGGATTTACCCTGGGGGTTATGCCAAATGGGAGCTATTGGCTAACGTGTCATTGTGAAAATATACTGATCCCTAACTGATGGAAAATTGCTTGAATGCCAGCATGAGAGTGATTTTCAAACAGCTCCTTCATCTTCCTCTTGTATATTAGGTTGTTGCAGAGAACACAGACTCCCAGAATTACAGGGTTAGAAGGTACCACTTGGGGCGTGTTCTAGCCGAGCCGCCTGCCAAGGACATGTTATGTCTAACCCACCCAAGTCGAACAGCGTGCACTTCTTGCCAAGAAGGCTAATGGCAGACGGGGGAGCATTTGTAGGAAAATTGCCAGCAGAACTAGAAGTGATTATTCCCCTCTATTTGGCACTGGGGAAACCACATCTGGAGTATTGTGTCCAGTTTTGTGCACCCCCACATCCACTACAGAAAGGATGTGGACAAACTGAAGGGCAACAAATAATTAGTGGGCTGGGCACACATGACCTAGGAGGTGAGGCTGAGAAAGCTGGTCTCATTCAGTCTCCAGAAGAGAAGAGTGAGGGGGGATTTGAGAGCAGCCTTCAACTTCCTGATGGGAGGTTCCAAAGAGGATGGAGAGAGGCTGCTCTCAGTATTGACGGATGGCAGAAGAAGGAGCAATGGGCCCAACTAGGAGGGAGGGGAAACACTGGAATGCGTTCCCTAATGAGGGGGTGGAATCTCCATCCATAAGGTTTTTAAGTCCCGGCTTGACAAAGTCCTGGCTGAGATGAGTGAGTTGGGATTGGTCCTGCTATGAGCAGGGGGCTGAAATTGATGCCTCCTGAGGTCTCTTCCAACCCTCATCGTCTATGATTTTATCCAGCCTCCTTTTGAAAATCTCCAGTGAAGGAGATTCCACAACCTCTCTTGGCAGCTCTCTTCCATTGCCCTATCCTACTTACCGTTAGGAAGATTTTAATGAGATTGAATCTAAATGCAATATGCTGTAGTGTGCTCCCATTACCTCTTGCTCTGCTGTCTCCTGCAAGACAGAATGACTTGTCT